GAACCCGTGAATCACTTCAAGACTTCAAGACCTCTACGCGAGACTTGGGAGTGAGTATGACCTCAGACTTCCTTCTCAGCTTGCAGTGTCGGGATGCTGTGAAGAAAGCATCTGGAGCTCCGACGGTCCAGGAGGATGGAGGTCCTCTTACCACTCTATAAAGCGTTTGTACGACCACCCCTCGAATATTGTGTTCAGGCGTGGAGCCCGTTTTTGGTCAGCGATGCCAAAGCGCTAGAGAAGGTTCAAAGGCGCCTCACAAGGTGGTTTGGCGGGATAAGAGAACTACCGTATGAGAGGAGACTGCAGGTGCTGAACCTCTTCTCATTGGAGAGACGGAGGCGTCGAGGCGATCTCATAGAGGCGTTTAAAATCCTTGAAGGGATCACAGCTAAAGGAGGTGATTCCCAGGAACTTCTGAAGCTAAATGAAACCACCTCACTTCTAGGGCACTGTGGTGGTCCAGGCCTACACGATGGTGCCTACCATGGGGCGGCGTGTTACAGTTTCAGGACATTGGCGATCAATCAAGTTTGAATGCTGTCGTCAATAGCACGTGCATACCTTCTGAATACACGTCATTGGCGGATGGTGCCAACCAATCCTGGACAATGCAGACAGAAGCAAGATTATGCAAGCAGTGCTGCAATCCAATTGGTGGTTGCCCAGGTAGCCAATAATCTCCCTTTGTACATGNTATTTAATCACCTTCATTTCTTCCAATAAACGAACTACTTACTGCCTGTCCTCTGGCCTCTTCCTTGCGTCTCGTTCTCGTGGGAAATTGCTTCTGCGATCCAGTCCGTGATAGCTGGTTATCGATTCGGGTCCTGTTATTCATATTGCGTAGTTGGTGTTCCGAATTTCGTGCGTATTACTACTACTACTACTACTACTACTACTACTACTACTACTACTACAATCTTTACAGACACTCACTGAAACTGGGAAAGGATAGGGTAAATTGCCGACTGAGGGCCACATCCTTTCCGGTTCGAGTCGTGAATGATTGGAACAAACTGCCAAGGGAAGCCATAGCAGCCACCTCAGNCTTGTGGATTAGTTTGTTCGTCGGAGTAAAGTAAACGTGTCAAGAGTCCGAAGCCCGTCTCCCTTCCTTCCTCTCTTCATCCCAATGGCCCTTTTAACCCCCACTTCCACTTCCTCTCTTCACCTCTCTAACAAAACCTCCGATTGTCCTTAACTTAGAATTTTTTCTCACCCCTACGGGCTTCAAAGTTCTTGGTGTGACTCTCCCATCCGAGAGGCAGTGTGCAATGCACCACTACACGACTATCCACGGAGTGGGGTGCTGTGGTTGGAGATCCTCTCCTTGTCGCCCCTTTACGTGAATACCACTGAAGATGAACCTTTTCATCCTATTGTCGCAAAACCGGGAGATCCTTGGAGCTCACTAGTGCAAGAAACTGGACAACCCGGCAAGCTACCGTCATCGTCTTTGGCACTGAACTGAACTGAACGTTTGTTTAATCGAGCTCAGTACATTTTGGCGGTTCACTACCTGCGTGAGTCCCGTGGTTGTTTTTCCGATGGATGTTAATTCTCATGTTAATTATCGTCATGTTGCTTGGGCTAGTACAGAGAGTTTTAGACTTGTAGCAGAGGCTCTTTCTAATGGAGATGACGATTCATTGAGGTATGCTGTTGAAGCCATTGGTGTGTGGTTGACACGATTGCCAGCGTCGAAAATCCCGCGGTCTATAATATGCACATACAACTTGCTAGTGGCGTATTTCGAACGCTCAGATCAAAGTTTAGCGCTTGCTCTAATGAGATTTGTCTCGTTATTGTCCAGTGAGGAGCAAGATCGGAATCGTCCCTACTCAGCCTCTCCCCTGCTTTCTTTGGCACAAAAGGCCGGTCTTCCATCTTGGCTCGCAGACCTGCGGAACGATATTGCACACGGCTCTATGCCATCGGCCTCACTACTCGCATGTGGTTTCAGCTGGGCCTTTAAGTGTCTTGCGGAGTTTTGGATGTCCAACTTGGCTCACATGACTCAAACTATCACGTCAAACGAAGAGTTATTTGAGGCGGCTGTAGCCGCTCTGGAACCAGCTGTCAAAGGTGTTTCCCAGTCTGATTTGAAGCTCCTGGAATCAGCTATCGATAACCAGTTCTGCTGTATTCCGTTGTTACAGCGTGCAGCTCGCTTGTTTACGTCGCTATCAGTGAATGCGAAGCGCCGTCGATCGCGGATTCTAGATGTATGCGCAACAGCTTCCGTGTTTCTCAACATGTTACGGCAAAAACATGTACTTCATCATTTTATCCTGTGCCTTCTATTAAGTGTGAAGACTAACTCAAATTCATTCGAAATGGCCAATTGTGTTGAATGGAGCTTGTCCTGGCTGAAGGCCATTTCTCAATTTCAAGCCGGTGGGAGCTCTGATCTCTCGAAATATATAGACGATGAGACTTGTTCGCAGTTTGATTGGAGGCGGGCTTTCAGACATGTAGTGTATGAAAATTGTTGCTTGGAGACGCGAGATTTGTGCCTGGAATTAATCAATCACATAGTTCCCGACCTCCCGAACGATCGGAGGGATAAAATGTCACGCATGTTAGATTTATATTTGGGAATCATCCCAGCTGTTAGTCGCGATGATGTGGAATCAAATTCTGGGACGGCCAGCTTCACGTGGCATCATGCGCCATCAAATTGGGCGGAAATTCCCCTTGGCGTTAATCTGGGATACCCGTCACTAACTTCAGAATGCTATTACCTTGCAGGTGAGAATGCCCCGACAAGTTGACAGTATCAAAGACTTCTTGCGGAAGACGCAGCGCGCCGATGCGAAATGTAAGTTGCACATTGTCAAATATTTCATATTTTTCATAGCCGTCAAAATTAAGGAGAACAAGGATAATGTCAAATTCAAAATCCGATGCAGTCGTTTTCTGTATACTTTGGTAGTCACCGAAAAAGAAAAAGTCGGGAAAATTAAAAGCTCATTACCACCAAGTATGTTCCACTTTTCATGCACGTTACCTATCTAATTCTAGATCTTACTGTAAAAGAAATAAAGTGACTTCCTTGTAAATAAAATGTCGGACATGGAACGAATCTCACTGCATTCGCTTTTCTGTTTCCTATGCACACAACTGTGGGCACAAACGTGGTTCCGGGTTGAAAATGAACGAACCATGAGCCGCAGCCCTTGCCTACTTTTAACGGCTTTCGTCCGTAGTCTCTCTACATATAGGGAGTAGAGCGAGAATAAGGCCGGCCATTAGCTTTAACGTTGGTTCGCGTGGAGTCCTCGACTAGAGTACCGCCACGAATACGATTAATTCTCTATTAAAATACGTGGAATGAGAGGCGATGTATATGAAAAACCGATCGTCCTCCGACAGCTCACGCTTCCTCGGTGACGACCAACCAATGTCACTCATTGATAATGACCAACACAACCCTGCATCTGTAATCGATTTGCAAATTCTTCGAAGTGACATTCTCAAACCTATGTTCCTATGACCATTTAGTGAAAGTTTCGATTGTCTGTAGACTGTTGTAAGTTTTCCTCGTAATGAGCGGTCGGTGGATTGTG